GAGAACAGCAACTGTGGGATGCAGTTACATACAATTGATGAATGCCTAATAAGATAAAACAAGAGTTCTGCATAGCACTACTAGCCATATTCCATCTATTCTCTATCAACTAGTGTCATGACGGTTGTATCGAAGCAATGCACACAGGATGCACATATGCCAACCAAGAATGAATAAATTTCAATAACGAATAATCCAATCCATTTCAAATTAAATTAAAATTATCTCTAGTTATAGATGCAATGATAAAATGTCATATGACTATCAGTTAAGTAATTGTTTTTCTAACGAGTTCATTTTCAGAACAATTTTCCTGTGTAATTCAAAGAATGGTTTACAAAAGTCATCATCATGATGAAATATTAACCATTAAGACAGGTCTTTTGTAGATGTTTTTCAACGTTTTTTATCGCTACTGATTGATGCCAATAAAAACCAAGGAGCACTAGGCAGCTGTTTAGTTTTAATATGACCACCTTCATGACACCCAGGACAGAGTTGGTTGGAGAAAACTGGTGGGCGGCCTATGCTCCATTGGGGGTAACAGGCGTAAGTAAGTAAGTAAGTAAGTACCTTCATGACTGCCCAAGCATGTGCTTCAGTTCCTTAAGAGAACTTATAACCACTAGAATTAATGAGTAGTCGTCCAACCCCATCACTTTACACCACTGGAAGTCGACTCGTTAGTTCTGATGATTAAGCATTTTCTCCAAGAGATGAAGATATTGGATTCAATCCTTAGTCTGTCAATGGTCGGCATTACCGAGAAGGGTAATACCAGAACGAAATAGTTTTCCAGTACTTCCAAGTGTCCACTGTTACTCTTACTGAGAACAGTCTGTAATGAGTTTAAATTATGCTTTGAAACAAATGTCTCAACTACCCTGAAAATATGATAAATGTGACCAGTGATGTATATATTTAAACGAGGTATTATGTGCTCTGGATTACTACCCATTGAAGTGATTGATGCCGATAATTATTTTACACTCTACTTTAGACAATTTCAAAATTTAAAATGTTGTTATTCTAGATGAATGCTGGAAGTACTAGTGTAAGACTTTCATCATATGAGAATCGACAGTTGTCCTGACAGGATTGTAAGTTAAATGACTGAAGTTTTAGGCCATCAACTTAGAGGTAAGCGTTTTGGGTGACGTTCTGCTTGCCACAAAATCTAGTTCTCCTAAATTCAACTCTTTATAATTTCATCCATGAACGCTTCTACTAAGTCCCATAAAATACATAAAATACATACATTATCTAATATCTCTAGCAAAACCTAAACAGAATTTATTTCCACTAAATCTCTCACCAGAATTTTTTTCTGTCAAATTACTGTGTAACCTTTGACCTAAGTTGGGTTTTCTTAATTCTGTAGGAAGTCATACAAAGAAATCATTTGGCTAACACATTATTCTATCTTGTTTGCTCCTGGATTGGTTTAGAATATTATATAAACACGGGGAAATGATAAATTGCTTATTTCTTTTTGATATTACATTAATTAAATATTACTAATAGAACGGTGTTTTACGTCTTTTTTAACACATAAATCGATGTAATTTTTCTAGAACAGTTATAAGTACGTTACCAAAAAGACTGACGAAGTACCAAACAAATACACACACGTTAACTTCACTAATAATATGACTCATAATTACTAAATTTTCGATGAATTGTGTAGTCACTACTACAAATTACTGATTGTAGTGTAAACTGAAGCACAGTAATGCGATAATCATGATAGTTAGAGAATAAATATGAAGACGTAATGTTTTCCTTGGCCTTCCTCTATTCCTTTTGCCTTGAGGGTTCCATGTGAGGGCTTGTCTCGTGACGCAGTTTGGTGCTTTTCGTAGTGTGTGTCCTATCCACTTCCACCGCTTCTTTCTGATTTCCTCCTCCACTGGAATCTGGTTTGTTCTCTCCCACAGTACGTTGTTGCCGATGGTGTCTGGCCAACGAATCCGAAGTATTTTGCGTAGGCAACTGTTAATAAACACTTGTATCTTCTGGATGATGCCTTTCGTAGTTCTCCAAGTTTACGCTCCATACAGTGGAACTGTCTTGACATTTGTATTGAAAATCCTGATTTTGGTTTTGGTTGAAAGTTTTTTGGAGTTACAGATATTTCTCAACTGTAGAAATACAACCCTTGTTTTGCCGATCCACACCCTCACATCTGTATCGGATCCACCTAGATTGTCGATGATGCTGCCCAGATATGTAAAGGTGTTAATGTCCTCCAAGGCATCTGCATCAAGAATGATTTGGCTGGTGCATGTTTTGTTGTATCGGAGGATTTCGCTTTTTCCTTTATGTATGTTGAGACTTACTGCTGTAGAGGCTGCTGCTACACTGGTCGTCTTCTCTTGCATTTGTTGTTGTGTGTGCGATATAAGAGCCAGGTCATCTGAGAAGTCCAGATCGTCCAGCTGCATCCTAGCTGTCCATTGGATACCGTGCTTCCATCCAGATGTTGACGTCTTCATAATCCAGTCGATGTCCATACACGTTCATGATGTTGTTTAATTTGAATGATTCGTAGATGGAGAAACAACACTACGTCAATGTTCATTATCTAATCTTGATTTGATCGTTTCCTACTTCTTTTCACAAAACTAATGTGTATAAATGATTTTATTAATAATCTGTTCATTAATATTTTTTTCTTCATACAATCATCACACACAGAAGCACATTAATATATTGATTGATCATTTAAGAACGACCAATGTCATGTCTGTCTAACCCTTAGTGCTATTTTAACAACCATACTGTATGCTATACTGAATTAATTAAACTAATGACTACATTTATCTTGATTGAAAGATTTCTTTCAACACTGTGAACAAAATATATACAATGTTTGTAACTACTTAATAATTGCGAAATGTAGATATCTTACATTTATATGGAAGTCAATTAGTACCTGAATAGCTCAGTGGTAGCATATCATACTTTAGAACTAAGTGACATTGGTTTCAATTCATCAATGAACTTCAGTGAATTCAGGATTACATGTATGGTATTGTTGACGGATGGCAAGTAACGCAAAACGAATATCCATCGTTTCCTGTGTGTTACATTCACCCATCGAACACTTAAGCACATGATACATCTAGGTAATTTTGTGGAGACAGGCATTCAAACAGTAAAGGATATATCAATCAATGATAATTCATTTATTTGTTCAATATCAAATTATTCTTTCATACTTCATTAATCATCTTGATTATTTGATTGATATATGGCTTAATTTGTTGCAATTGAATCTATAGAAAGTTTTCATTATGATTATGATTATTATGACAATCATCATCATTGTCCATAGTAATAACAATTCGACATAATGTTGTGATGGACATAATATGATACACTTTTCTTATATATATTTGTTTTCTTTCCATGAAATCTATCAAGACAAGTGGTGAAAATACTTTTTTGATATTATTTGTATTAATTTAAATAAATCTCACTAGAAAATAAATGATTACATTGTATGTTTATTGTGTTGTGCTTTTTTTTATTCTTCAAAAAAAGCTCAAACTTCTTGTTAATGCTTTTTCTTGACTTGAACTCATTCTAATAATAGTGTCATAGAAGTAGAAGAGAGAAGAAGAAAGATTAATCATAAATCTAGCTAGTTGATATATTCATTGTTTAAAAACTCTGACTAATTTAAGCGGACTATTCAAATTATGACTTGTTCATTTTATTGAGACGGATATGACCATTTTTTTCACGTAAAGAAAACACGTCTCAGTTACGATCGTCTAGGCTAAAGTGTATTTTTTTTTCGTTTTACAAAAAATTAAATTGATTGCATTAATCTTAGAAAGAATACTTTTTTTGTGTGTAAATCACTTGTCTGTTTTAGTCAAAAAATAGTTTAAATTACAAATATTTCATTTTCTTTTATGAAATATTTTTAGTCAGTTAAGAGATAAAAAGGCCAAAAATTTGACTCAATTTAAATAAATATGGAAAAAAATATGTGAAATAACAAAAATTCAATTCATGAAGGTTATAGTTCTGGAGATGTATTATGTTTTTATATTTTGTAAAAAAAAAATAGTAAGGATGACAAGTAAAAACAGTAGTCTGTATGTGAGTTAGTTTACCAGCCAGCTATGCGTATCTATATATTGATGATTCACAATTGTGTGATTTTGTTTGTGTGTACAAATAAACGAGTTATTTATTTCATTTATCTTATCAATTTTTTAATGAAGTTATATATCATGAACTGACTCTGCTTAGACTACCAACCACCAATGAATAACAATACAGTATGAGGACTAGATAGTTTTATCCTTGTATATAGGATTCCTCATTGTTTGGTTTCGGATGATTGTCTAAACAATGTCATTAAGTGCTATTAAATTCCATATTTAAAAATCACTATCATGTATATTCAGTTGACAAGTTCTAAATAAGATAAAACAAGAGTTCTGGATAACACTATTAGCCGTATTCCATCTATTCTCTATCAACTAGTGTCATGATGGTTGTATCGAAGCAATGCACACAGGATGCACATATGCCAACCAAGAATGAATAAATTTCAATAACGAATAATCCAATCCATTTCAAATTGAACTGAATTGAAATATATTTTTATCCCTAGTACTCGGTGAATGCTATCGATTAAGTTTACACCAGTGAATGATCTTGGTTAGAAATACTCTAGTATAGAACTCTTTCACAATGGTTAAGCAGAACCTTACTGAGGATTAAATACAGAAGCTTCAACACAGGTGACAAGTGCTAAACCTTTTTACTGTTAAGTCGAAATTTTATGATTTCGATGACTGGCTTCAATAAATTTGCATTATCAGGTGACCATTTTCTAATACTTCAGGTAAGTAAAACTATTTTATACATAACACTGTTCAACTCTATTGGAATATTTGTATTTTAGTTGAATTTTTTGGTATTGTCTAATACTTTCCTTTTCACTCTCCATTCCTCATTCGAAAAAAACCCATCTCTAGGTATATATCAGTACATCAGATGTACAAATGCATGCAAATTATCATCGTAAAGATGCTGTTATTATACAAGAAGGTTTTCAACGATTTCGTGCAACAGAAAATTGTGGCATCATCAAATGTCCCTTCTATAGAGAATGCACAACACATTTTCATTGTCGACGTAATAATTGTCATTTCACATTTAAAAATAAAGGTGATATGGGTAAGCGGTAGACAGTAATTAGTACTATTAACATGATACGAATATATGCTTTGAAAAAAACAATCGATAATAACATGTCGCTTCTCTAAGCTAGGAAGTGTACATATCAATACTTAGCAAACTAAATAAAATGTTTTAATGATGGACAATTGACTTCAACCATCAGGGACACACGGTTAAGCCTAATGGCTAACATTTTCAATGGTGACCAGATTAACCGATAATAAAGATGCTCATCACACGAAAACAACTTGTCTCCTGGACAGATGGTAACATTAACGATAAACATGAAAGATCACGCGATGATACTGATGAGTAATCTAATGTTGATATTGCTTGCATACTTACTTAAGCCTGTTGCCACCAATGTAGCACAGGCCGCCGACCAGCATTCTCAAGCCTAAGCCGACCTCGGCCTATCCTTCCAGTTCTAGACGATTGCTGTTCATTATATTGAGGTCTGCCTCCATTTCTAGTTGTAATGGGTTCTTTGGTCTCCCACTTCTACTTTGGCCTTCAGGATTCCTGATGAGGGCTTATCTTGTGACGCACTTGTGTGTTTTCCTCAATGTGTGTCCCATTCGCCCCTAGTGCTTCTTCCTGATTTCTTCCTATTCTGGATTCTGGTTTGTTCTCTCCTACAGTAGGTTTTCGCTGATAATGTCAGTCCAACGGATACGAAGTATTTTGCGTAGACAACTGTTAATAAACACCTGCATCTTCTGGATGACGGCTATCGTGGCTTTACAAGATTCCGCCCCATACAGTAGAACTGTCTTGATGTTTGCATTGAAACTTCTGACTTTGGTGTTTGTCGATAGTTGTTTTGAGTTCCAGATGTTCGCCGTTGATAGAAATGGTGTCGTTGCTTTGCCAATCTGTGAATTCACATGTACATCAGATCCACCTTGCTCATTAATGATGCTGCCAGATATGCAAATGTTTCTACATCCTCCAAAGCTTCTCCATCAAGTGTGATTTGGTTGGTGCATGTTGTGTTGTATCGGAGGATGTTACTTTATCCCTTGTGTATGTTTAGACGACCTGTTGCAGAGGCTGCTGATGCATTGGTCATGTTCTCCTGAATTTGTTGTTGCGTGTGCGATACAAGGACTAGATCATCTACAAAGTCCATCTGCGTCCCAGCTGTCCACTGAATCCCGTACTTCTTGCCCGATGTTCACGCCTTCAGTAGACCTCCAGTAGACCACCAGGAGAAGGAGAGAGAGTGAGAGTAAGTAAGCTTGTCCGACACGGGACTTCACTTGAAACGAGTTTGTGAGCTGTCTTCCATGCAGGATCTTACAGTTTCACCCATCTTAAGAATTCCGGTTTATGTTGACCATCTTCTGAAGCCCACCATAGTGTCGAAGAAGTTTCCATAGTTTCATCCTGTCCATGTTGCCGAATCGTGTCTCTTAAGCAAGGAGGTTGATGTAGAGTGGTGAATTCCATTCAACTGATTGTTCCATAATGATGCATAATGTCGCAATGTGGTCAATACACGATCGGTATTTACAGTCTCCAGCCGGTTGATATCGATATTAATCGTCTCGATAGTCCTACATTCTGTTTAGCAACAATCTACTGAAGACTTTTGGCGGTGTTGGAAGATGAGAGATTCCTCGATAGTTCTCACATTTGCTGAGATCACGTTTCTTTAGTATCTTGATAATGTGTCCTTCTTTTTAGTCTGTTGGTTCTTGTTCGTCATTTCAAATCTTGTTGAAGAGAATGTGGAATATCTTTGCAGTTACTGTTGCGTCTTCTTTCAGTGCCCCAGCTGGAATGTTTTCTGGTCATGAGTGACTTGTCCGAAGGCCATGCTGATCTTTACAATTGTCGGTAGATCAAAACCAATTAAGAGGTCTTTAGGTGCTGCTTCAATTTTAGGTGGGTCCAGTGGGGCTAGTCGATGAAAGAGTTCTTCAAAGTGATCTGGTTTCGCTTTCCTTGTTCTTTACTTATCACTATGGTTTATTATGTCTTCTAGCCAACTTCTTCTTTGTATCTTATAGTTATCTCGCGTTTCATTCTCTTTTAACTTCTTCTAACATTGCTAGGTCTTCTAAATATTTAGGTTAATGGCTCTAATGCTTCTCATCATTTGTTTGTTTGCTTTTGTGTATTCTCCCCGTGCCCAGCTTTTTATGCTGTTTTCCGGTTCTTTTTTTAAAAAATCATATTCTCAGTATCAACAGAGATACATTCCTTGTGATGGTGGTTTTTGTGGTCCAGAGACTCATGAAATGCTGAAGTTATCAATTTATTGATCCCTTTTCAGCTGTTCTCCATGGTAGTTTTCTTTTCATTGAGTAGATCTTGAAAGACCTGGAACTTAATGCTGAGATCTACCTTGAATTCTTTGAGTTTGTTAGTGTCCTGAAGAAAAGCCGTATTAAAATTTTGTAATGCTATTTCTCCAGTTGTTCAGTGCTTCTTAAGCTTCAGTTTAGTTTTGGCTATTACTAAGTGATGATCTGAAGCTATGTCAAATCCTCTCCTGGCTCTCTCGTCCTTCATGGTACTTCTGAACTTTTTAATGATACAGATCTGGTCGAATCGGTCCTATGTGGTATGATCCATGTCGCATTGTGAATGCGTATTTGTGAGAATATGGTGCTACCTCTAACCTTTTTGTTGAAGTTATGTAGATTTGCTAACCTCCCATCGTTTTCCTTCCTTTCCTCCAGTTCATTTTGTCCCATGGTATTTCCATATCCCGTGGTTTCCATTCAGATCCAAGCTTTAAGGTTTCCCATTTGAAAGCTCAAGTCCTTTGTTGGGCATTTCTCGACGATTGACTACAGCCTCTCATAGAATTGATCCTTAACATCTTCATTGTTATCGTTGGTAGGAGCATAGCGCTAAATGACATTCATTATAATCCCTAACTGCTTTCTTTGAAGAATACTTTGATGATTTTGGGTCAATGAAACTACCATTCTGTTAGTGCTTTTTGTGCTTCATTGTACAGCGTCAGTACAACTTCATGTGGATTTGAGGAATTTCGTTCCATATGGCCGGAGTATAACAGCATCGCCCATGAAGCTATTCTTCTTTTCTAGCCTTCATCCAATGTGCTTCACTGATTTTAACCACCACTAGGTTTTATTTTAATTTCTGAAGCAACTAAAGTGGTTCTCTCGGTCTTCTACATTGTGTGAACATTCTATGTATCTAAATTAAACGTGACTGTGGTCGTTTGAAGGGGCATTTGCCTCGTGGCTTTCATCATGAGACGTCCTTGATCTTCTAAATGAAGACCTTCCAACTCCCAGGGTGGAGTATAAATGGTTTGAATTATTTTTTTTGGTTAGCGTTCTTCTAACAAGTTAGTTTTCTACATGATGAGGTCGTATACCTCACAACCGGCTCTTCTCTTTCACTCAGGCTTAGGATAGACAGTAACCCCAAAAGGGCCTCAGCGGAGTTATATTGTTGATTTTGGATGATTGGAATCATTATGTAGTATTAAGTATGAATATAGTTTAGTATGTATGCTTAATATTTATACGTTTTAAATGTTTGAACTCATTTTTACTGCAATCAAATTGTATCAAGAAGTCTTGATTTAGCGTAGAAGGTGTATTCTACAAACACCCAGCCAACACACACAATGAATCCAAGCTCTCAAATTGCGTTTATTTATCCTCTATAGAGACGTCGTTCGGACAATCACAAAAATAGCACAATAAAATGACACAGCAACCGATCACGGCCAAGGATTTTTCTGATAGGAAATGTAATCTCAAGGTCAGCTGATCGGTCCATGAAATAAATCCAAAATAAAAGATATTTGTCTAGCGAGTTCTGGGGATCTAACATCCCCAACACTAGTCCTCTAATAGTATCGAAGATCATGTTATTAGACCTTCGGTGTTAGCCATATTTTGTCTATCAATTTTTCACTACATATCACTTCCATGCTATCGTCTGCAAGTACGTCAAACTTCAAAAAAAACGAAAAATATTTGGTCATTCAAATCAGTCAAATCAACCCAATTAGGTGTAACATACATCAGTCAGTAAGCTTTTATGATGAGAGAAAAATCTCTAGGAATATAAAACAATCCTTATACAGGCTGAAATCTCATTTATTATGATCATCATCTTATAATGATAATAATAGCAGAGAAATATTTCACAATAAAATTCTTAGAGAAGCATTAAAAGAGTCAATTTTTTTCACACGTACGTGTTTTGAACAAATATATTCTACTTAATAATAGTAAGTAGCATAAACTGTATATTATGATTAGTTGATGATGTGAGGATTTTTAAAAATCAAAATCTATTGTTATTTATGTTTAACCAGTAAGAAAAAACTATTTCATCCCCTTGTATAATCTTTTTTTTCACATCAGAAAAACATAAAGGACATCATCAGAAAAACGATAGATTCGCACAAGATGGATTTCGTCGTTATATAAAATGTGAAAATTGTGATTTTCCCGGTTGTCAATATTCTGGTGTAATAAACCATATTCATTGTATTCGACCAGGTAAGTTTGGAATTATGGAAAATTATCATAACGCAATTTTGCAGTAAGCCTTTGCTGTAAGCTAGAAAATCATTGAAAACTTAATAGCCATTTTATCTTAGTATTGGATTTCTCAATAGTGCCCATCCGTGACCACATAGTCTACCTGCTTAGTGCTTTTAGATTTTCAATGGTTGTTTAATTCATATCTATCTGTGATAATAATGATAATAATAATAATAATAATAATAATAATAATGATAATAATAATGAACATTTAGCCTAGAAATGTTAAATTAGGTATTAAAGTTTCCTGCTTAGTCCCATTTTAATCAATTGAATATTCACATCAACTGAATATCTCAGTTACTAAAGTTTGGACCACTTGAAAAGGTTTTTCTTGTATTAAGTAGATAGATTTAATGCACATGCTTTGATGATATTATGATTTTCGAGTTTCATTACTTATCTCTTAGTGCTGTCCTGTATTTTATTATTATCAGTGCATATTTGATGAAGAAGTGAACTTTCTTTTTATGTTGAATGGTCACCAAGACAGAACGTTCAAAGAGACCGAAACTGAAACAATTTGTGTGTTGATTACCTAACCAATACCTGAAATCTGCAATTCAAGTAGTGTGTTGCTCGGAGAACTGTAACAAAGTAGAGTACTAATTAGAGCTTACTATATATATATATATATATATATATATATATATATATATATATATTACTAATCAAACAATTGAAAACTTTGTTTGTACATCTACACAAAGTAGTTAGTGATTATGTTATCTATTATTATAAACTATCTAATTTAGAGAACAGAATATTACCATAAACATTAATAATGTAAATCATTATTTCTATTTATATATAAAGCTTCAAAGCACATTATATCGGACCTTTAACTTCCCATTAATTAATTATTATACATCGTAGAATAAAATCAGTAAATAAATACCTTAGAAAGTTGAGAAACCATAATTTCGTTATGTGTAAATTGGCTATCATGTTGTACGGATACATTGACAAATTCAAATTTTCATTCTTGATTAACATTCGGAAATTTATTTCATTTCACAATGATCTCCTGAATAATTTGACGTGTAATCATCTTAATTATTTAAACACACAATTAGGTCTAAATGGATTCTGGAAGTCAAGTTCTTGATTAAAATAAAGAGTGAATGTATCTTTGACATTGTAACTGGCACTGAGATATGCTACCTAGCATATTTCACTACTGATCGAGGTTGCCACATGGACCCTAACCAGGCAATCGGCTTCCACTAACATGACTCTGACCACAGGTCAATGGCTCCATGGGCTGAAATATTTACATTCCGGACACAGTATATTTGACAATTCGATTAAGATTCAGCTTGGCTAACTAAAATGAGACTACTTGGTAATAGTTCTGATTAAGTTCATTTGACTGCGCGAAGTCCTTTATTCCTCAGTTCTTCCACTAAACAATTAAATTAAGATCGAATCATTGAGCTTAATTCTTATCAAAGATTATGAAGTAAGATATTGAATTGGAATATTCACATTCCATCTTTAATTCCTCTTCCTAAAAGCTTACTACAATTCAGTTCCATTTTTATTTTTTATTTTTAAAAAATGTCATTAGGGTGTGATTATGTAGTACATTCATCCAGTCAGATTGTATCACATAAACGAAAGCATGACAGGAGATTAGCATCATTTTCACCTAGATACATGAATATGATATGTTGTGACGATATGTGTCAAAGACTTTCGTCACCTAATCAAAACGATGGCATTGATGGCGAAGATCTAACTAACATTAGTGAAAACAAGGTCAATACAAGCAATTTTGACATTGTTGGCACTGGACTTGATCCACTGGAAACAACTAAATACATATTTAATCTTATGAGTAGTGGAAAACAATTATTAAGCAATCATTTTTCGCTAATTCAAAACAATCCAACTCATAACTTCTGCTCAAATTTAAGTGACTTCGATTTCAGTTTAACTGAATCGATTTCCGCAGATCAGTTCCTTGATAAACTTTTAAAGTTTGTCAGTTTGTGTATTTGTCGACGTCACAACTGGGAGCAGGTATTATCATCCAGTGATTCTGACAACGATAAGGATCACGAAAATTTATCATTATGTACAAAAATCGATAAAATTCTAACAGCCATACATCAATCCTACGACAAGTACTTCAATAAATGTTGCTGGCCAGGATGCGATTTACATGTCAATACTACTACTACTGCTACAACAACAAAAACTACTACTACTACTAATAATAATAATAATAGTAATAAAAATAATAGTGACGAGGATGTAAAAACATATGAAGAAACATGGTGTAAATACTGGTCATCGCATTTATTGGAAGCATGTCTTTCATTTTATGCTTATATAAAGTGTGATCAATCAAATTGTCCAATTCAACCCACCAATGATCATGTTCATTGTCGTTTTTGGCCAAAATGCGACTTCACTAATCCATCAAAACATATAAATTTTCAAATCTTGTATAAACACCTTCTTTCACATGATGAACGTTTTGTTTTTAAATCAGTCAACTTAACTAATCATGATCAACCAATTTATACCCAAAATGAAACAACTAGATGCAATTTCGCTTTGGATATATCTCATAACTTAGTAAGTCCAAGACGCAGAGGCCGACCACCAAAATATACTAAACAGATCCATGTGCCCCACGTTAATCTACCTGAAAATTTATGTGAAGATAATAAGTGTACCACTGATTTAACATATTCCATGTTTTTCGATCGATCAGAAAACACCTTTCAAAATCATATGAATATTGATCAAAACTTGACAGACAATCACACTCCCAATGTTAAGAGCGTTTCATATAATGGGAGAGATATAAAACAACTTCAACGCGTTAAATTCGGTGTCAAACTGTTTTTATCTGGTGAAATGTGTCCAGATATTAACTGTCCATATTACCCAACACATGAAGAGCATTACCACTGTGCCAAAGTAAGGTGTTACATGGCTACTAATAGATTAGATTTAATCAATATGCATCGACATGAATTTCATCAGCATACCATTATTGAACAAGGATTTGAATATTTTGACACAAGTATTGACTGTCGTCGACCATTATGTCATAATAATAAAATACATAAGCATTTTCATTGTACTTATCCAAATTGTGATTATACATTTGTACGTGCAAGCACAATGCAACAACATTCAAAAAAGCATACAGATAATTTGAAATCAAGTCAATCTATGATGAATAAAACTTTTGATACAATAAATACGGGAACGAAACAACCAAATCAACCAATTTCTTCTACACTGACAAATTATTCATCAGATATGTTGTATACATCATCTACATTAAAAAAAATAAATACATCGAGCTCAGATACCAATTTAACTGATAATATGAAACATTATGATTTCATAAATGCACAATTGATCAATCCATTACTTCCACTCGGTATAAATCCAGAACGGTTACTTGTTCGACAACCTAATGCTCAGGAAGAAATCTTGTCAAATTATCCTTCATTACCAATCATTAATGATATGAAAAGAAGGAATTATAGAGAGAATTCTTTATTACCCGGTTTTCTCCCTATTTGGGCTGCTGCAATGGTTACAGCTGCTAATGGAGTGATACCAATGAAAGCAGATAGTTCATCTGAATTAACAAACGGATATTTTTGAATTATCAATTCCTATATTCAGCTAACCAATTAAAAATATGTATATATGCGTTCAAGTAAATCAACTTTCAATGTTAGTTTAGTACAGATCAAGAATTAGCTTTACTGTCCTCAAATCACTAAAAAATGTAGGTAGAATAGTAATAGTAATTTTTTTTCTTTAATAATGTAGTTGTTTATAATCGATTTAAAAATTATTCTATTTGATAAGTAGAAATAATGATTACATTCATTTGTATGATAAAATCTAATTAAAAACAAAACTTTTCAAATATCCTGGCGACGTCTTTTCACTTGATCAAGCACAGCTAATGCCTATAGGACTTATCCATATTCTAAAATACAGTGATAATAGCCAGTTTATTAGTAAATAATTCACTTGTTTGAATATATTTATACATTATCCATGATGGATATTCTCTAGAGTTCAACAAATAAAATGTTCAGTTGTCAATCATAAGTTGACTTTGTGGACAAGTTGTTATTAGATAATATGTAAATGAAAATTGAAAACAATTATTTCTAAAGTAGAATTGTTGTAGAATGAGGTAATTGAACCAGAAACGGTCAAGGATTGTGATAAGTAGGTACACTTTTATACTGAGTTTTTGTTCATTCTATTAATCAACCAATCACAAGCAAAGTTATCACAGATTTAACCGTTACATATTTGAAGTGAACTGTCATCACTTTTTTTTCAATAGCGAAATCGATTATTGCAACCTTTGGGAATATTTTTCCTAACTCCATTTATTTTTTTAGCTTTAATGCCCCAGTAATACATCACCTATTTCATAAACGCATCAATTACAATGATGGCTTTGGTGAACAACTGCTGATTAGTTCCTATAGGCCATGGAAAGATTTCCAAAATGTAACTGTGTTATTAAAATAATCGACTGTAATATAATTTTAACGTGACAGAGCTCGATAGAAGTATTGAGGTTTTGGCTAACCTCATACTTCATAAAACCTGACTATTTGATAATCCCGATTGTAGCTTCTACCTTGACGTGATGGTCGGGCTTGCATATCGTGATGACCCAACCGAGCTATATTGGCTGCAACATATGTTCCTCAAGGTTCTACCATGCCAGGTAGGTCAGTTAGAGAACGATGAGGCTAAAAGCAGCTACTGAAGGTCTGAGGGCGAAGTCGTACTGCTGACTGTAGAGGGGTGTGACAGCAGTAAGGTGTTTCCCTCGGACAACCAGCGTCTGCAGTGATGCTGCCTTCTCACAAGGAAGGAACGGCTAGAAAAGGTCGACCCTAAAAATGTCACACCCCACCCTACCTCACGGATTTCCGACCCCTGAGGTAAGGCCTTTTAAACAAGAGCGGAACTAACACTTCAAAAAGAGACCATGCGCAACCCGCCTCAAACTGTTGTCCTTCGGGCTGTGAGGTCACGCGCCGAGGTCTCTAAGACCAACACTAATCTGACTTCTTTTTCAGGTTCCTCAAGAAACAACCTTCTCCGGTGTGGGCAGCCGGGAAGTGGCATCTGCCCTCATACCCAAAACAGCACACGAGACCAGATCAGTCACAATCAAATACTTTCTAACCCCCTCACATCTCTCTTATCTCCACGATGCACCCTTCTCACATTCCTTTATCACGCTGCACCGCTTATGCAAACGACTTGAGTTCACGACACGTTATTACTGGTCTCCTGAAGCCCCAAACTAAAGTACGTTTCAGGGCTTTTAATGTCCGGATACTGTGTCAAATAGGACATCAGGCTTCTCTAGCTAGGAGTTTAGAATCTCGCGCCATCGATGTATGCTGCTTCTCGGAAAGGCGCATACATGAACTGAGTAGTGTCATTCACTTGACCTCACCATGTCAAAATAAAGAACCAGCTCAATATACTCTTTGTGTATCTGGAAGCCCTGATGCTACTTCTCAGGGTCTCGCTGGTGCAGGCATAGCATTGAGTCCTAAAGCAGTTCAGACGAGGTAAAAGATGAGTTTCACAGAAACGTCTCGAGCCTTCTTCAGAAAGTTAAGCTCTCTAATATAGTATTAGTGGCTGATGACTGTAATGCTCAAGTAATTAGACCAAGTGCGAAGGAAAGACACCTAGGTGCATCTTATGGTGTAGCGGCTAATAGATCAGATAACGATGACCGTCTGCTTAAGTTCTGTTCAGATAACGGCCTATTTCTGGCAAATACTAACTTTAAACATAAGGAAAAACATATTTTGACCTGGCGACCACTTAAGTCGTCCTAACGCTGGACCCGACTATATCACATCGCTATAAGCCATCAGTGAAGAGGCTTTATTGAAGACTGCCTCTCATTCTAGGGCACTTGTCTAGATTTAAACCATGCTCTACTGCAAGCATGTATTCGTTTGTGACTTACTGGACGTAGGAAAGACACCGCAAAGAAATCTCTTAGGATTATAATTATTGATTGCATAGATAAAAAATATGTACTCCAGGAACAACTATTAAAAACAGTGAGGCGGCCATGTAAGCGATTCCCACTCAGAGGCAGCTTGGAATGCGTTGGGGACATTAGATCCCCCAGAACTCACTTGGAAAAGGTCCTAATTTCGGATATTTTATGTTTTCGCGTATAAGTTGCTCAGTTGACCCTGAGATTACATTTTCCACTCGGCGAATCCTTGACTGTCATTGGTTGATGGATTAATTTCGTACGCTATTTTTGGTTCTCCCAAAGGCGTTTCTATTATATATAAATAAACTCGATTAGTGTGCTTGTCGAAGTCGTATGTTCTGGGTGCTTGTAGAATACTCTTTCTATGCCTTATCGAGACCTCTTGATATAGTTAGCCGGGCCAGGGACAATGGATTAGAGCAGCCTATCGTGTCACTGCATCATTTGTCTTTGCCCTGTTTACCGAGTAAGGTGAACTCATAATAGTTTCAAGTATATCGATTGACGAGCTTACCAGAATGAAATCGAAAAGGCTGTGGAGAAAGCAGTGATATTTGCTAGTAAGGTGAACAATGAGGCTACTAGAAGTCCTGGATCTCAGGGCTCTACTTAATGATAATAAAGCTAATAATATATTTTGGGAACAACTGTTATGAGGTTGAGAAAGCTAAAGGAAATCTGAAGCGAGGGAGAGCAGCAGTGTCTGACAGGCTTACCATTGATATTTTTAAGGATGGTGGTCCAGTTTTAACAGTTAGATTGACTGAGATCTTAGGTAGAATCTGGCAACTGGACATAACCCCATCCGAGTGGTCTCAATCACTGATTGTCCCAATTTATACGAAAGGATCAAAGTCCTCTTGTGACAATCACAGGGGACTAAGTCTAACTAATATGGAATCGAAAATATTGGCCTCAATAATATCCCGACGCTTAACCAAAGCTCGTGAAGAGCAGACTAGAGAAAATAAGGCTGGTTTTCAACCTGGACGTGGATATATAGACCATGTATTCACACTTCGTTCGGTTCTAGAAGACAGACACATTTAGGCGTCTGACGATAGCGGCATTTGTCTCTTTCGATCCTGAGGTTCTGTAGCAGTGTCTATCATCGAAAAGTGTACCTAAGAAGTACAGTGACCTTATAAAAGCTCTCTATTTGAACACCACTGGTCGGAGTTTATCACTTCAAATGGTGTCCGTGATGGCCATCCACTCTTTCCATTCTTGTTTAACATTGTTATAGACATGCCTAACATTATCTTGGTCTGATTTCTCAGGAGTGAATCTTCTACCAGGAGACACGCTTGCTGACTTAGAGTATGCTGATGACATAGCCCTATTCTGTGAAGACTCTGACAAAATGCAAAGTCTTCTGACTACCCTAAGCAACAATGCAAGCATGTAAGGGATGCGATCTTGCCCTAGAAATGCAAAGTGTTGCTTCAAGATTGGGTTTCATCGGTAGCTGAACTAGTGATAGGGAGTGAAGTAGTCGAGCGTGTTGACGACTTCAATTATATTGGGAATCTCATCAGCGTAGATGTCCAGGTGACTGACGAAATCTCAGCACGGATGAAGATAGTTCGACTGACTTTAGCCAACTTGCGTCACCTATGGCATAGTCGAGATATCTGTTTTGTAACCAAAGGATGAGTCCACTATGCAGCAGTCCACTTTGTCCTACTACATGGATGCCAAAGATGGCCGGTAAAAGTTGAGGATATTCTTAGGTTATGTAGTATTTGATTATAGATGTCTTTAAGCATTGCTCATGTATCATAGGACAACCGAGTAAGCAATGTTGTCGTTATGAAACGAGTACTAGGTTGGTATGGATGAAGTAGTGAATCTTCATCATTTTAGATAGTTGGGACATGTGTTACGACTGCATCGTTGAGCGATGTTTTACGATGAAGGAATAGGTTAGGAGAAAGCTAGGAGCGGCTGAACCAAAAAATGGCAGAAATCCTGAATGTTATCGACAAGTAGGCTGAGTCATGATGGTTAGTGTAGACTGCCTGGTTGGGGCCCGCAAGACTCTATTATTCGATGGTTAAGGACATTGAATTACATGGCTTAAAACCGTTTTCAGTGGCGCAGGTGCATCCACCCTTTGTGTTCTCTCAAATCCTAACCCTCAGACTTGCTCATCGCCTTTATTTTACTCTTCTCAAATCTAATTCACTGAATTATACTTCGTAAATAGTATCTTTGATGGGATCAGTAGCTAACAAAATAGTATAACGATTTTACCACAGTAATGATAAGTTTACCACACTTGCCTTCTTTATGTGGTCAGCTCGAAAGTGCTTGATGGTAAAGGTCTCTGTAAAACGAAGTAAAAGTGGTGTATGTTGCTTGATAATCATTTTGAATGCTTCTGAGACACCTATGTTGTGTTCATCATCGATTAAATGTCCAGTGATTGTACCCGTGCAAACTTTCCGTGCTTTTAGACATAACATACGTGGAAAATGTTGCAAAGACTTTATAGATGGCCTTCTCTATTATGTTACTGCTCAGTAATTAATTAAAATAAAAATGTCTATCTTAAAGAAAATAATTTATGAAGATACTGCTTTGAATCCTGCAGAGAAAATCAGTTTAATGTAGACACCAGATACAACAACTCATTGATCCGTTTCACTTATTGTATGTCTGTCTGAGCGACCATTGATCT